GGAGGAAGATCTTGCAGTCGACGAGGCTTGCAAGGCGGCAGATGCCGAGGTGAAGGCGGAGAAGCTCGTGCAGATGGCTCCAGTGGGCACTGGCGGAGGGAGCAGCCAGCCGGCAGAGTTTTCTGAGTCAGGTGGCAGCAGCCCGCCCCTCCACACACAGGAGTCGCCAAAACCGACGACTTCGCATGCACTGAACATTCGCAACGCTATGAAGCCTAAAGGTGCACACACAGCTCCTGAGAAGAAGCGTGGCCCTGACTCCCAGAAGAGGGCACCAAGAGGCAGCAAAGACACGTTCGCAGGACGTCGTCCCCCGATTAGCGTAGCGAAGCTCGAGATCTACAACGAGATGAAAGCGGACTACCATCGCATCCGGAAGGCTCTTTCCGAGCAGGGCACAAAGAAAGGCAAGAAGAAGGTGACTTTGTCCCAGGAGTCCTACTGGCGACACATGCAGAAGGCCATGGGTGACGTCGAGGGCTCAGCCATGGAGCGTTTCACTCAAGCTTCACAGTCTTTTTGCAAAAGCATCATGGACTGAGTGTTTATCATTTTTATGGGGTTTGCGTGCCTTGTGCAGCGTGATGAGTGATGCCTGCCGTTGGTGTCACTGTCAGCTGTCCACTGTGCACTGTCCGGGTTATTGCAGTCAGTCCTGGCAGTGCTCATGATCATTGCCAGTGCGGCTGCAGGCTTGAGGGGTGTGTCAAGCTGCGCTAAAATGATCTCTTTCTCAGGTGCCTGTGAGTGAAAGTGTTAGCCAGCTATCAAGTGCTTTTGTCTTCAGCCAACCTCATGAGTTTCGCAGTCTTGGGGTTCTTCCAGCCTGCATTTAGTGCTGCAAGCCTTGCCATGGCAGTCCCCACCGCTTTGGTCAACATGCAAGTGTTCGGCATCACTTTGGGTATGGCTCTTCGGTCTTCACTGTCCACTGTCGCTCGTCCACTGGCTGTTGTGGAGCTGTGGTGCGGCGTGGCGTCCGTTGCAATGGCTGCCGAGAAGGCTGGCTATCGACAGCTCGCCATGGACAAGGACCGGATCCAGGGAGTGACCGATGATGACGCGTCGGATGACACAGAGAACATCTTGACCAAACGTGGCTTTCAGAATGCGTTGAAGGCGGTCTTGCAGATCGACGAAGGTGGCCTGCTGTGGATGGCGCCCGTCTGCAGCAGCTTTGTGTTCATGAACTCTGTGAAATGCCAACGTACTGTCAACCGCCCAGCAGGTAACACTGCGTACCCGCCTGTGAAGGAAGGCAATCGCATGGCCAGCATTGCAGCTTTTCTGTATGCCCTCGCAATGTTGCGTGGGGTCCACCCTGTCATTGAACAGCCAGCGGGCAGCATCATGTTCAGGTACAAGCCCCTCGCCAAGGTCCTCAGCGTTTTCCACCATTGTTCCGCCACCTGTGCCAGGTGCCATTTCCAGGTGGATGCTCCCGAAGGCGAGAGGTTCCTGAAACGCTACAAGTTTGTTGGTGAGACATGGGTGAAGAGTTTGCAGCAGAACTGCACATGCCGTGACGGGATTCATAAATCCATGGTCAAGGAAGATGAGCATGGAGGAAGGACTGGCGATCGGAAGCTTCTGAAGGAGAGCCAGTCCTACCCCCGGAAGCTGGGAAATTGGATTGTGCACAACTGGTTCGAGCAGCACAGGCTCATGCCATGCTTCCAAGAGTCCACTGTCCCACTGTCGCCTGTCCCTGTGCAGAAGCACACCAGCACGAAGTCAGTGTGGAAGCGGCCAAGTTCAACTTCCAGTTCCGATCCTGATGCCAAGAGGCAGAAGGCAGCTGGGGCACAGTGGAAGCGGCCAAGTGCACCTGCCAGTTCGGCCCCTGTTAGCAAGAGGCAGAGGAAGCAAAGTTTCCAAATTCCGTGCAGCAGCTGGAAGCGCTGCTTGTGAGATTTGCTCGCTGGAAGCTGCTCCTGACAAATTAGAGGCATGAGCCGAAGGTTTGCGGTGGGTTAAAACAGTGCTCAGCACCTGCGTGTGCAGGTCCTTGAAGGGGGTGCTGCTGCTGGTGCTGCTGCTGCTGCTCCTGCTATTGATTGCTTGTTTGTATTGTGAATTGCCATGATGATGCTTGTTAGCACAGACAGTAGTAGTAATTAGTAGCTGCACTGCCAGAACTGCACATGAACTTTTGTTGTTGGCTGCCACGGAGGCTGTCGCTGTAAATTTTGGCTCCAGAACTGAGTCCACTGTCCACTGTCCATTGTCGACTGTCGACACTGCCATGGACGTCCACTGTCCATTGTCGACTGTCGTCGCCGCCATGGACGAAGCCCCTACTGAAATCCTCTCGCCGGCATCGGAGAGCGACTCCGAGGTCGAGGATGTTCAAAGGGAGCTCGAGAACCTGGAGCTCATGTCCGTTTCCGCCGAGGGCGAGACTGAGACCGCTTCTGCTGAAGACTTGGCGAAGGAATTGAGTGTGCTGCTTGATGAAGAGCTGGGAGAAGTTCGCATATCAGTGAAACTGATGCAGATGACGGAAATATGTGTGTGGTGTGGGATGGTCTATTGCGAGCAGTACCTTGATGGCTATGAGCGCTGCCGCCTGGACTCATGTTTTTCTGAGCAGTATCACTGCTCGTGCAGCGGTTGAACCGCTTGTGTGCGATGTCCATGGATCACACGCCGTAATTGCCCTACTACCCATGGATCACACGCCGTATAATTGCCCTACTACAACACTGTCCATTGTTCACTGTCACCTGTCCACTGAGACGAGTGACGGTGACAAAGCATCCATGAGACTGGCAAGTTTCCAGTTTTGCCAGACGGCAGGAAATTAACAGTTGGCACCAGCAACTTGCCGCAAGAGCCGGGGTTTTCAACATGCTCTTTGCGTCTGAGAAAAATGACCTGGGCAAGCCTGCTATTTCGCCATCATACCACAGTGGACAGTGCACAGTGAACAGTACAGTGGGTGTGGGTGAGGGCAAATAGGTGGGGAAAGGCGAATTAACCGATGGAGGTGTCGGTTAATTCGCGACCTTTTTAATTGTGGGGGAGGGATTCGGGGCTTGCTAGCTAGGATTCGGGGCTAGGGGCTCAAGGGCTCGGGAAAGCTTAGGAGAGTGCTGCTGTGCAGGTGCTGGTGTCCTACCTCGACAAGCTCACACACTGTCCACTGTCCATTGTCCACAGCAACAGCAGCAGCAGCTAGTGGTAGTAGTAGCACACCAGAAGCAATAATAGTGGCAGTGGCAGCAGCAGCAGCAGCAGTAGTAGTGGTAGTGGCA